AGTGAGAATTCTGCCTGAATATATGCTGAATAAAAACTGGAGAATTACATCCAATCTTTAATTTACTTAATGCATCGCATTTGCTAACCACATAAGAATTACATTTAAAAATTAATTTATCTTGATAGTCAAGATCCTTAGCTATTCCTTAGTGGAATGTATTCAGAACACTGGAGCTGTGTCTACACAAGATGCTGACTGCGCAATTGTTACTGCGCAGTCATTTAATACTTGTATACCTAAGTACTAAATGACCATGCAGTAGCTGGTGTTACTGCACAGCAGCATTGCTGAATGGCTTTTAGGTGAAGCTGACTGCACAGTAGCTTGTTACTGCTATGAAGTAGCATCATGTCATGCTTCATGCCACACAATGCTACTGCGCTGTAGTAATGAGTTACTGCACTGTCAGTATCTCATGTAGATGTGGCCTGGAAGTATTAAACACAGGCCCTGCTTTTTAGACTTAAAGGAAGCTGCAAATAGGTTCAAACTTGTAATGACTTCCCTGAGGGCTTTGTTACACATTACGCCATAAGCTGCACAAATGTTGATCGGTGTTAGTGCTACCTTAGAGTTTGGAGCAGTCACAGCCTTAGTCTAGAAACCTTCTCTGCCTGTCCCTTACCTGCACAGCTGTGACTTGCCACTAGAGACCTGGTGAGCAGGGGCAGAACTAGCAGCTGTAGCTGGGAGTTGTCACTAGAGGGCTGGTGAGCCAGGACTGGCTTTTATCCCTGCTCTATGAATGGGGGTGTGAGAGATCCTGAGAGGACTTCAACTTGGATGGCACATCTATGGGGATTAGCCACACCTTAATGGAACAGCAGCTGGGCATCAAAGATAATACTACCCTGGAGTGGCATAACTTTGAGCCACATAGGCCACGTCCAAATGTGTGTGAACATTTGGTTCCCTGGGGACCAGTAGCAGTGGTGCATCTTGCACTGCAGATACTTGTCCCCAGGGAACACCTATGCCACGTACGCTTTGGCGCGTGGCAAGTTACCCCGGGGACAGTAAGGGAGGCTGGAGCCAGCACTATGCTGGCCCCAGCAGACTTACCTGGGGTCCTTGGGGCTTCCCAGGGCTGCAGGCACGGTGATCCCGCCAGGCAGAGCCTGGCCAGCAGCCGCAGCACAGCTCCAGGCGGCCCAGCTCCGCTTTTCAGCAGTGCATGTTGCCTGAGTGTTCGATTTTTTGTTTTTTTTTCCCTGCGGGTTTTTTTTTTTACCCCTCCACCACTTCCCCAATATATCATGGTGTCAAAAAAACCCATGGAAAAAAAATGGAGCAGCACAAGCTCGGGCAGCATGCCCTTGTAGTGCAGAGAACACCAGACTGTGCAGCATGTGGCACTGCAAATGTGTTTGCAGTGCCACATACCGCACAACCATGCTCATCTGGATGCACCCATAATAAGCGCTTGAAACCACTTTACGGTGTTAATGAGTCCAGGGGTTAAGAGCTCCAGGAGCTGCCCAAAATTACCGTGTAACAAGGCCCTGTTTTACAAAAACAATCTTTCTTCAGGAGGGAACTTAAGCATCGAGCAAGGAGCTTTGACAATTCTCACCGTGTTGCTAAACTATGTAAGTCAAAAAGGCAAGAATTTGTTTGTGTGATATCTTTTCCTGACCACAAGCATAGCAATTGGTTTGACCCTGAGCAGAGGGGCAAGACCCTCTAGATAGGAGCCTGTGGCTTTGGTCACAGCAGGAACATTGGCTCACCTCAGTCAAAGTCCCCAGCTCTAGCTATGGTCACACCCAAAGCCTCTGAGGAGGCTTAAAAACACCCTGACACACATGGCAGGAAAAAAGTGGGGTGGGGGGGGGAGGAACCAGCAAAGGCCAGAAGTATGGGAAATACCCATGGTAGAAAATAGGCATGGCTACGCCTAGATGATCCCCAACCAATGGCTGTACAATCTCTTCTTCAACACCTCCAGTAGTGATGGAGAGTACACAACTTTCCTAGACAGTCTATTCCACTGCCTCACTATTCTCTCAGTGAAGGTGTTTTTTCCAGATATCCAATCTAAACTTAACTTCACTGCAACTTCAAATCATTTGTCTGCATTCTCCTCTCAGCAGCAAGAGAGAAAAGGTTCTTTCTCTCTTCTTTATAGCAACCCTTCAAGTATAACTTTTAACATTTTGCTTCTTAAGTATCTTTTCTGCAAGTTGAACATTCCTAGCTACTTCAGCTTTCTTCATATGACTTGCCTTCCAAGCCCTTGATCATCTTTGTTGCCCACCTCTGGACCGTCTCTAACTTCTCCACATCCTTTTTAAAACATGGAGCCCAGAACTGCACTCACTATTTCAGATAAGGCCTGACCAGCACCAAGTAGAGAGGCACTATCACTTTCGGTATCTTGCACCTATAGCTTCTATTGATGCATCCCAAAACTGCATTAGCCTTTTGTGTGGCTGCATCACACTGCAGACTCATATTGGGCACATCTATACGAGAAGCTTATCAAATTCACTCATGACTCGTTACTGTGCAGTAATGCACATGTAGATGTGATCCTGGAGCAAATTTGCTCCTAGATCAGCTTGGCCACTAGGGATCTGGGCTGAGGCTAGCGCTAGGGCTGCAGGCAGGGAGCTACTCCTGCCACAGGGCTGGGCTGCTTCTATGGCAGCCCCTGCCTCAGGCCTTTAAAAAGCCTGTAGGAATTTTGAGTCATGGGCTGACCCAGCCTGCCAGCACCCCAGCACCACTGTGTGACACCACAGTGCTGTGCAGCTGCCCGCAGCAGGGTGCTGCAAGATGCTCCAGGATACTGTAGGCTCCAGCCAGGCCTGCCAGCATGCAGGCCCAGCTACAGGCAGCTTCTGGCTGTTGTGGCCAGCTCCTGCTGCCCACAGACCACCCCCAGCAGCCTGCTCTGAGTCTGCAGGTGCTGCAGGGCATTGGCCCAGCTGTGCAGCTGTCACTCCCATGCTGGGCCCCTGCACTGGAGGGGGGCCCAGCATGGGAGCTGCATTGCAGGCAGCTGCCTAGTCCCAGCAGCTCAGAGACAGCTGCATGGAGGCCCGAAGAACTGGCGTAGGATGCCCAGTGGCATCCTTCTCTCCCACAACTATGCCAACACCCATGCCTACCACCCAGGGCCCCAACTGGTCACAGAAGGAGACTGGCAGCCTTGTGGCACTGTGGAGCGAGGCGGAGGTACAGCGCCAGTTTGAGTGGAGCGGGCACTCCAATGGCCACATCTATGAAGGGCTGTCAGGCCAAATGCAGGAGTGCGGGCACAACTGGTCAGCACAGCAGTGCTGCATAAAGATCAAGGCCTTGCAGGCACAGTGGGTTGCCATCACAGACCGCAATCATCAGTCGGAGAGTGCCGTAAGTCCATGCCCTTTATGTGGCAACTGATAGACATCTTCAGGCCCCAGGCCCCAGAAGCACAGGAGAACTGCCTGAGCCCTTGCCTTGGCCTGGCACCCCCAGTGACACATCACCACGGGAGGGCCCTTGGGTCTGCAGCAGCCTGTCCCACCCAGGTCCCCAGCTGCACCCTCCACCAGCAGCTTGGGGAGCCCAGGCCAGTGCTTGCCATGCCAGCTCTGCAGCCCCAGGCCCTGACATGAGGTGTGGCCAGCCATGACACCACCAGCCTCCAGCAGTACCAGCTCCTCCCGGGGCGGGCCCAGCTGGGCCCCCACCCACCCTATCTCATCATCTGAGGATATTGCCTGGAACTGCACACCATTGCTGACAGCCATGACCACGCAGAGCCACCAGCCACCCCAGCCCCAGCCATGTGGTAAGTCCCTGGTCCTGCCCACACTCCCCAGCCAAGTATCTTCCCCCACAACATGGAGAGAGGCAGGAGACGGTGCAGAACTTTATTGAGCAGCCCGCACCGACACAGCCTGGTGGGTAGGGGGCTTCTCACACGTCAAGGAATGCATTGATGCCAGTGGCGGTGTCCTCCTTGGTAGTGGGGGGCAGGGATATGCGGTGCAGTCACAGTTAGCTCTCCAGGTGGTGCTGGAGGTTGTGGAGCAGCCCAGGCCTGCCCTTGTGCCGTTGCAGCTCAGGGTTCCCTGCTAGGTGCACAGGATCGCCCAGGGCACCATGGCCAGCAGCAGCAGCAGAGCAAAGTGGGTTGGGCACCCCTTGGTCTGCACAAACAGCTCCTCATGCACCTGTGCCACAAGCAGCAGGGACTTCTCAGGGTACAGCAGTGGTGTTGTGGAGGCTGGCCTTGGGGCACCTCCCCAGAGAAGACCCCTACTGAGATGGCAGGGGTGGAGGCCTGGGCAGCTCCTCACCCCAGTCATCTGGGAACTTTGTGCTTCCTGAGCCCAGGTGCCATGGGCTGGGTGGCAATGCAGTGGAGCAGCTGGTCTGCAGGAGGAGGTGGAGGGCAGTGGGATCTGGAGTGCAGAAGCAGGCCCCTGCCTGGGCCTGGGAGGAGGTTCTGCAGCATTGGCAGCTA